GGGTATCTAAATGGACTTAGGGAGGGGTTTCAATGGCCCTTGTTTGCTAGGGCTGTGTGCAAGAGGTTTTGTGAACATAGTATGGATGTAATGGAAGAATTCTCAGGTTTTAAGCAGTGGGGGAATGTGGTGGATTATTCAGATAAGTTTGAAGAATATAAGGGCTTACTTCTGCAGATCTACCCCTACTTAACAGAACAATACTTCCTGGATAGCTATGTTGTAAGATTGAGGCAACAGCTTAGGTGTTTTGTGAGGACATCTAAACCTAATACCTTGGAGGATGCCATGTGGCTAGCTAGGCAATTTGAGAAGGGACTGAAGGTGAGTGAGCCACAAAAATCCCTTACCCAAAAACTAACTTACCCCACCCAAAGAAGCCAATCCTTTCCCAAACCCTACAACCCTAAAACCACTGACTCTTCCAGACCTCAAATCAGCCAAAACTCCTTTAAAACCACAGCCTCCAATACACCCCAATCCCACAACACATCACCAGAAATTAGTAAGCTCAGAACTCAGCTCAGGGAGCAAAATAGATGCTTTAAGTGTTTTGACTCTTGGAGTCCTGGCCATAAATGTAGAGGGCCAACCTTCAACATTATGGAAGAGGTTGAGACCCTGGAACTTGAAGAAGAGCCCAGAGAGGTTCAGAAAGGGGATGAAGAAGTGGGGGCAGACCTAGGACAGGATGAAGCTGAAGTGACATTGTGTGCAGTGATTGGAGGGGAAGGCATTAACACAATCAAGCTGGTGGGTTCTGTCAGTAAACAATCACTTGTAATCTTGGTAGATAGTGGAAGTACACATAGCTTCTTGGACCCTAGATTGCTCAGCCAACTAAAAATCACTCCTGAAAAGGCAAAACCTCTGGCAGTGACAGTGGCTAATGGGGAAAAATTGATCTGTGATTCCATATGCTATGGCTTCAAGTGGCAGGTACATGATGAGCCATTTGAGAGGGACTTTAGAGTGTTGAAGTTAGGTGGGTGTGATATGGTCCTAGGTATGGACTGGATTAACAACATTGCCCCAATCCCGCTACATACTAGGCTTCCTAGCATTTCATTTCACAAGGATGGTAGGAAGGTTTTATTGAGGGGAATGACCAAAGGGATAGCCTTGCAGTCTACTTCTAAGAAGGAAATCAGGAAATGGAAAATGGAGGGAATACAAGGATACTGGGTCCAAGGGAGGATGCATATGGATCAAGAAGGGGAGTCCATGAGCTGCCAACTAGCAGAATCCAATGGCAGCTACCTTGAACTGGATAAAATTTTGCAGGAGTATAAGGATTTATTTGCAGAACCTAACTCACTACCACCAAGAAGGCCCTTTGATCATGCCATTCCTTTGGTTTCAGGAGCTAAGCCTGTGAATTTTAAACCTTATAGATACTCATTTATGCAGAAAAACACCATAGAAAGGATGGTGGAAGAAATAGTTGTCAGCTGGTATCATTTCACACAGCACATCACCCTTTGCTTCTCCAGTGTTATTGGTCCCTAAGAAGGATAATACATGGAGGTTTTGTGTGGACTACAGAGCTTTAAATGAGATTACCATCAAGAACAAGTTCCCCATTCCCTTGGTGGAAGACTTGTTTTCTGAATTGGCCAGTGCAAGAATCTTTACTAAGCTGGACTTGAGGGCTGGATACCATCAAGTTAGGATGAAGGAAGGAGAAGAATACAAGACAGCCTTCAAAACACACCTAGGCCTGTATGAATTTAAGGTAATGCCCTTTGGATTAACAAATGCACCAGCCACCTTTCAATCCTTGATGAACTATGTATTTAAGGTTTTGATTAGGAGGACAGTCTTAGTCTTCTTTGATGATATCTTGGTCTATAGCCCATCTCTGGAGAGTCATTGGGATCATCTAAGGGAAGTCCTTGAGGTAATGAGAAAACATCAGCTATTGGCAAAATTCAGCAAGTGTTCATTTGCTAAACCAGAGGTGGAATATCTGGGGCATATCATCTCTGAGAAAGGTCTTCAAACAGATCCTGATAAGCTAATTGCAGTGGCAACCTGGCCAAAACCTGCTAATGTTAGAGAATTGAGGGGATTTTTGGGGCTTACAGGCTACTATAGAAGGTTCATAAGGGCCTATGGAACTATTAGCAGGCCTCTTACCAATATGCTTAAGAAAAATGCCTTTCAGTGGAGTGATGAATCTGAATCTGCATTTGAAAACTTGAAGCAAGCTTTGTGTAGGGCCCCAGTCTTAACACTTCCTAACTTTGACAAGGAGTTTGTAATAGAATCTGATGCCTGTTATAAGGGTATGGGAGTAGTGCTTATACAGGAAGGTAGGCCAGTGGCTTATTATAGCAAGGGATTTGGGCCTAAGCATCTGGGCTGTCAATTTATGAAAAGGAGTATCTTTCCATCATCAATGCAGTAGACAAGTGGAGATCTTATCTAGTGGGGAGGCCATTCACTATCAAAACTGACCATCAAAGCTTGAAGTTTCTTCTAGATCAAAAGATTACCACAGCAATGCAGCAAAGGGGATTAACCAAATTATTGGGGTTGAGCTATAAAATTCAGTATAAGAAAGGTGTGGAGAACTGTGTGGCTGATGCTTTGTCTAGGAGGGATCACAATGAGACCTCTGAACTCCTGGCTATCTCAGCAGTAAGACCATTGTGGATAGAAGAAGTAATGAGCAGTTATGATGGGGATGAGATGGCTTCCAAACTGCTCACTGAGAACCTGATAGCTCCTGAGGAAGGATCACTGTATCTAGTGAAGGAAGGTCTGATCAGATATAAGGGGAGATTATATATTAGAGAGAAGGGGGATTTGAGGGGAAGACTCATGGCACAGATGCACAATTCTCCTATTGGAGGGCATCAGGGCAGCAAGTCACTTATCATAGGCTTAGACAGCTCTTTTACTAGAAGGGGATGAAGAAAGAAGTCAAGCTTATGGTTAAGAGTTGTGATGTTTGTCAAAGATGCAAGGATGAAAATGTGCCCTATCCGGGATTGCTACAGCCCTTAAAGATCCCTGATCAGGCTTGGATGAGTATTTCTATGGACTTCATAGAAGGATTACCTAATTCACAAGGCAAGGAAGTCATACTAGTGGTTGTGGATAGATTCACCAAGTACAGTCACTTTTTAGCTCTCTCACATCCTTATAGAGCTGAGAAGGTGGCTGAGCTCTTTATGGAACATGTCTACAAGCTTCATGGGCTACCTCAGAACATTGTAAGTAACAGGGACAAGGTGTTCTTGAGTAAATTCTGGCAGCATATGTTCAAACAAATGCAGGTGAAATTGAACATGTCCACTGCCTATCATCTACAGTCTGATGGCCAAACATAAAGAGTTAACAAGTGTCTTGAAACCTACCTGAGATGCATGGTATTTCATAGGCCAAAAACATGGGTTAAGTGGCTTCACTTGGCAGAACATTGGTATAACACAAATTACCACACTTCACTGCAATGCTCTCCTTTTCAAGCACTCTATGGGTATACCCCTACATCCTTAGCCCTTGACATATCAGCAGAAGGGGAGGAAGGTGTTTGGTTCACAGATAGAGCTACCATGACAGCATTACTGAAGGAGAACCTCCAAAAAGCTCAGGAAAGGATGAAGCAACAAGCAGACAAACACAGAAGTGAAAGAACATTTGAAGTGGGAGATTGGGTATACCTTAAAATTCAGCCCTATAAACAGGTTACCTTGGCAGTCAGGTCCAATATCAAATTAACTACAAGGTTCTATGGGCCTTATGAAGTAATTGAGAAGGTTGGGGAAGTGGCCTATAAGCTCAGATTGCCTGCATGAGCTACCATTCACCCTGTGTTTCATGTTTCACTATTAAAGAAAAGAATAGGGACTGGGATGGTATCTCAAGCAGAACTACCCTCCACTCACTACAAAAAAAGGCGAAAATAGCGACGGACTATTTCCGTCGCTAAATAGAGAAAATCCGTCGCTAAAGGGTTTAGCGACGGATTAGCGACGAAAAACGTCCGTCACAAAAACGCTCCTCCGCAAATTTTTTTCCTTTGCTACCGTTAGCGACGAAATTTTCCGTCGCTAAACAAAAATAATCCGTCACTATTTTTCTCCTAACGACGATTTGATGACGAAATTTGCAATGGAATAATGACGGAATATTCCGTCGTTAAATCTAGCGACGGAAATTCCGTCACTAAACCAACAAAAAATCCGTCGCTAGATTCCTACCACGACGATCTGATGACAAAATTTGCAAGAAAATAACAACGGATTATTCCGTCGCTAAATATAACGTCAGGAATTGTCGCCGTCATCGTCAATCGCTACATGTAGCGATAGAAAATATCATCGCTAATTTGTTTCTATTATTTGCATCGAATGTCATTTAGCTACAATTTAGTGACGAAAATATTCGTTTATAAATTTAGCAACGAATTTTTTGGTCATTATTTCATTGCCATTTATTATTATTACTAGTCTTTTCTATGCGCGATGCGCAAAAACATATGCCCAATATTTATATTTTTAAAAATAACTAACAAATTTTTACTAATTAAAATCAAAGTGAAATAAAATTTATTTATTATATTAATCTAATATATAATGAATATACAATGTTTTACAAATATTTTTATAATTAAAGAATATAAGAAAAGATAAGATAGATTCATGTGCATGGTAAGTAACGGAAAAAATAACGGAAGTTATAACAGTAAGGGTGTTTTTGTCCAAAAAATTGTATAGTATAACTCTAAAAGCACAATGTACAAAATAATTAGCATTAAAAATATGGATATAAATGAGGGATATAACTTTGATTGAGACTTATTATGTTTTTAGATTATTATTATTATTATTATTATTATTATTATTATTAGTAGGTACTTACTATGAATTTACTACAATATTCATCCATCATTAAATTTAAAAAAATTTTAAAAAAATTACTCGCTAATTAATATTACATACCTACATTAAACATAGTACTTCAATAATATAATTGTAAAATATATTATATTAAAACATTCAAACTCAAAAACAATAATAAAAGTATAACACTATACAATATTACATCGTTAAAAACAGTATCAAATATATTAATAAATATAATCTAATCATCTCCTAAGGATAATGTTATATATACTAGTTGTGACCTGAGGACAACATCAAAACTCATTTAATCATATGAAATAAAGAAAGCCAATTGGCATTAAGAAATCAAGGAATGAGCTACACTGCAGACCATGTCCCCAGCATACCTTGCTCCACTGAAAAATCTCCCCATCATCAAATTCTACCTTGAAAAAGTTAGAGCTCCACTGAAAATTTTGGATTTAAGGTTACTATCACCCCAGAATTTCCAACCTCTACCTTCACAATGACATGCAATAACTGTTGGGTAGTGACTAACCTGTTTCAAAATTTCGCAAATCGTTAGCATCAATACAGACTTCAAAGAAAAAGTAATAAAATAGAATCCCATTCAGATTCATTAAAATTTTAGATCTCCATCATATTACTTTACTCAAGAGTTTTTTTTTTTATTGATATTTAAATTTCATTCTCTATATTGATGCATTTAATGTTACAGCATATCAACATGAATGAGTGAATTATACTTAGAGCCATGTGGCTCTTGTTGCTACATGAGCCCTATGTCAATGAATGGATAATGAGGTGAGCTAATTTTATTGATGTCCCTAATGGGATTTTCTCTCTCTTTTTTTTTGGAGGGGGCACATAGAAATGTGAGCCATGGCTCCCAGTATATGAGCACTAACAGGATTTTTTCTCAAATGTTAATGTAAAAGATAGTTGCACAGAGTTGAAACCAATACAAATTTACCTACCGTAGTCAAGTTATCCTGATATGTTGAACATTGATAGCCACATTTCAGAACTCAAGCAAACCGAAACCCCCCCCCCCCCCCCCCCCCACCCCTCTCTATTTTTGCAACTTTGTTTTTGCTTTTGCAGGCACACACCAACTAAGACTTAAATTATAGTGGATCCACTCTTCCTAAGAAGAAGCAAAGTGCAAGCTTCTGTTATATTCTAATTCAGTCTCCCTAAAGAAACCAATCACACAGAAGAAAATTTTACAACTCTCCCAAACATTTTGCTACCTTGCTATATTAAATTTAGAAAAGAAAAAAGTTTATCATCTAAAAAAGCTAGCATATGCCTTCACAGAGAATCTAAGTATATCCATACTCTAGGTGGCATAAATATTAGTAATTTAATATTTATTGGCATAAATGTTAAACAAGGATTTCCTTAAAACTATACATGAGGCACACACAATTTCCTTAACACATATTGACAAGTGCTCTTGACGAATATCTCCAATATAATATGAAATATTGGAGTGCCATGCCAAACAATATTTAGATATTCCATAATGAGTGGGGGATATTATACAATCGAGTAATCTTAAAATTAGAAATATTTAAAGTTAAGTTCTAAATACAAACTATAAGATAGTAGCTCCCAGACAACGACAACTTGAGACATTTAATGTTTAATTCAATATTATTAAGCAATATTATGAACAATATTGCTCGAAGGTCTTAGAGTTTTCTCTCTTAGACTGTACACTAGGTCTTCTAATTCCATTTCTCTCCAGCATAAACAATATTACTAAAAGCTTCATTAATATGCAGACAAAATTGCAGACAATTTCTGGGACAGAAAATTGTAGAGTGCCAAAAATTAAATCATAAAGAAATCACTGCACCAACTACTGATAATTATCCAATGAGTGGACTATTTTCAGAACACCTACAACCTACAAAAGCAATGGACAAAACATAACAAAAAGAAATTAACAGTTACAGTCAAATAGATATAGGAAAGGTGCAGTACATAAAGCTACAGGACAAAAGCAATAAAAATCTCAACAATAATACTTTTTCTGCATTATTAGGTTTCTAATTCAATGAAAAAGTTTATTTTTTCTGAGATAATCTTCTGCTATCTCATCTGAAGGAAGCAAAAAAGGCCAAAGAGAGAAATTCGACTATAAGTAAGACACATGGCACATGGATGACAACTATTCTTTGATATCTTGGACTGAGATCATAAAATGTAAGAAAAGTATAAATGTAATAGAGAGCACAGAAAACAAAATCACTCATGTACTTGTTCAAAAACATAAAATGGAGTACATGAGCTACAAACAATTTAAATAATCAATTTAGTTAACCTCATTCTCAAAACTGAGAGATAGAAATAAGCCAACCTTTCACAACATTCATTTCCTGTCAATCAAATACCCAATATTATGGAATGAGCACAAGACATCTCACATATAGTAATCAATTTAAGAATTTTTTACACTCTATAATTTTCCTTTCTCACTACGGAGCATAAGACATCTCATAGAGACCCAACTAACCCACTGATTTCTATATGTGCGAGATTAAAGACACGGGATGATGTGCGAGATTAAGACACGGTTGACGGAGTAGAGAGAATACATACCATAGAATAGAGCAATAGAGTAGGCGGTAGGGGAAGCGGCGGTCGGCGGTCGGCGAAGCAGGAAGTGACGTTGGCGGTTGGCAGTCGGTGGTCAGAGGGAAATAGTGGCGGTGGTGTCAGGGACTTAGGGGAGAGACGGAGGAATGGTGTACTAAGATACTTAGGGGAGAGGCGGAGGAATGATATATGAGTTAGGGTTAGGCACAACTTTAATTTGTCACGACACATTTATCTAGCGACCGATAATAACATCTATCGTTATATAGCGACGGATTTTAATATCCGTCGCTAGATAGCGACGGATTTTGAGTCCATCGCTAATGTTAACAAATTCCGTCCGTGATCTCGCTTTAAATTTTGCGACGGATGCTCAGATCCGTCGCTAGGATTTTTTAAAAAAACCCACTATGTTAGTTTAGCGACGGATTTGAGAATCCGTCACTAAAATTTTAAAAATCTAATTTATAAATCTAGCTACGGAATTAAGAACCATCGCTCCAGTGTTAGGAAAAATCCCGTATTATTAATTTAGCGACGAGTTTGAGAATCCGTCGCTATCTAGCAACGGATCCTCAAATCCGTCGCTAATATATAATCACAAAAAAAGTCGTTCTTGAAAATGTAGCGACGGATTAATATATCCGTCGCTATTCTGTAGCAATTAAAATTCTGAAATCAATCCGCAAAAAATCCGTTGCAAATCCGTCTCTAATTTTTGCGCGAAAATTTACCGCTAAAATTAGCTACGTATTTAACGACAAAAATATTCCGTCGCAATATCCATCGCAAATCCGTCGTTAATCCGTCGCTAAATGTCTATTTAGCAAAAAAAATAAAATCCGTCACTAAGTTGTCGCTATTCTGTCAACAAATTAGCAACGGAATATGTCCGTCGCTAAATCCATCGCTATTTTCGTGTTTTTTTGTAGTGACTGATGCAGAAGGAATGATCTTGACTCATCCTATAGCTGCCTTGGCCAAGAGAATGGTGAAAAGAAATAATGCAGCTGTGGTGGAAATTCTTGTACAATGGGCTAATCTACCCAAGGAAGCAGCCACGTGGGAAAATTACAACCATATCACAACACAATTCCCAAATTTTGATCCTTGGGGACAAGGATCGTATGAAGGGGAGAGTAATGTCATGGACCTGGATGCAAAAGAAAGAAATGAGAAGCCCTCTGGAAGTAATGAGCAAGGAAATAACTAAGTGGCGGAAGTCGAAGGACCAAAACGTCGTCGTATCGCAGTCTCCTAAAAGCCGTTATCATTTAATGCAAACGACATCGTGTGAAACTAGCCGTTGAGGGCCGTTGGGACGAATAGAAGGGACGACGTCGTATTAGGTGAAGCGGTTGAAAACCACTTCCAGGCTGGGCGATTATGAAGAAGGTGCCGGAAGAAGGTTGTGCGAAGATTCCGGAGGCCGTTAGCTGAGCTTGGAAGCATTAGCATAGTCGCTTATTAATCTAGCATTTTTGTATCTTTGTTTTTATGCTTGAGAATTGAATCAAACCCTAGATTTCTTTCCTTAACCTAAATTTCTTCTGAATTTCTTTACCTCCTTCTTCTCTGCCTCTTTATCTCTTCTTCTTATTTTCATACTTGAGGGTTGTGACAAATACAAGCAATTTATGAAAACTTACAGTCTTCTCCGAGGAAATTGCAGTGAAGAGGTCATCAATGACTCCCGCCCTAGCGCGGACGGCTATGTTCATGTTATCTGCCTCGGCACCGAGCCAGTAGAGATAATCCTTGGCTTCCACGAGTACTGTTCCGACAGCTTTTTCGCCTTCTTTTGCTCCGGCACCGCATTTAAATTCGACTCTTCAATTCGTCTTCGCTCTGGTGATTCGCACCGAGAGAGAAAAATGGTTTGGGAGTCTCTTTAAACGGGAGAGACGAGTAAGTTTGGGGAAGTGAAGGGAGACGAATGGTAGTGAAAGCAGAGCGCCATTGTTGCACTGAGTGAAACGACGCTGGCGCTGACATATTTGGGTAAAAAAAAGGCCTAATGCGTTTACTATCTACGTCCCAAGGGCGAGAGCTTCGGACTCAGATAGTCCTTCGAAACAAGCAACGTGACAATGAAGTTCCCAAATTTTGGACGCGGATTATTTTTAATTTAAATAAAAAAAATTAAATAGTGACATTTTAATTACAAAAATGCTACCGTCTTCACTTTACATATTTAATATTTAAACTTTAGACGCAAATTCTTAAATTTTTTTTGATCATTTTTGTACTAGCAGTTCAAGTTGTTATTATAAATTCAATCCATTTTTTTTGGATATTGCCCACACTCATTTTGGGCTTTCACCATTTGGTTTAAGTCTTCTCCCATCTCATCTATCGTGGCAAATTATATCATGCACTGCGGTGCATAATCAATTATGCACCGCGCATCAAAATAGCGTCGTTTTGTTTAATGAAAAGAAATGGCATCCGTTTTTCGTCGTTCTGCACCCTTCCGCAAAAAGTAACTCTGTTATTCAGTTTAATTTTATATACACTACAGTTTTAGTTCAACACAACTACAGTTTCATTTCAATATAATTACAGTTTCATTCGATATTTATAGATTCAAATATGTGAAAATGTTATTTATTTATTTTTTTTTTGTAAGTTACTGGCTCTATTACATTGTAGTATCTGTTCATATACTTTTCTGCACCCTTCCGCAAAAAGTAACTCTGTTATTCAGTTTAATTTTATATACACTACAGTTTCATTCGATATTTATAGATTCAAATATGTGAAAATGTTTTTTTTTTTTTTTTTGTAAGTTACTGGCTCTATTACATTGTAGTATCTGTTCAACGCCTCCACTGAGGCTCGAACTCATAATTTTCCAAATGGAAGTCCAACCCGAGTACCATTGGACCACATAATCCTGGTGTGAAAATGTTATTTAATTTTATTTTATATACACTATTTTTTTTTTCATTTTCCAGGTCCACCCGGTTCGCTCTGAGAGGCACAGAAGGTGGTCCAAAGGGAATCGTCACTTGTGGGAATTGAACCCGGGTTATCCCGAAATCCTCTCCCATAAAGAGAATTTTATATACACTATAGTTTTATTAAAACACAACTACATGATCATTTTGATATAATTACAGCTTCATTTTACAATATACACTCGAATATGTGAAATATTATTCAGTTTCATTTTATATACTCTGCAGTTTCATTTCACCACAACTACAGTATCATTTTGATATAACTGCAGTTTCATTTGATAATATAAAAATGATACGTGAGGCAGTGTCAATTTAGATATACTGTAGTGTCAGTTGATAATTAACATACAAAAAAATGCGCGCTCCGTTAAAACTAAAGACGCGCCGTCTCTTTACTTAAAGAAACGGCGCCGTTTTGACCGCGGTCCACGATATAACGACCCATCCATCGTTACTATTATAAATAGGGGTGTGCAAAACCCGAGAAGTCCGACCCACCCGGCCGACCTAAAACCCGATGGGTGAGTCCGTGGAGCTAACCGTATCCAATTACCACGCCCGACCCGATGCTACTACAAGACGGATGCAGAGGGTTCGGGTGGGAGGCAGTAAACGCCACCCGAACCCGTCCGAACATCCGATAAAACCTAGGGTTATTTTACCCTATGTAATGCTTAGGAGGGCTGTTTTTTTTTTTGGTTTCAACTTGTGTTGTGCGTGTATTTACATTTTTGCTGCTGTTTTTACTTGTTTTTTATGGCTTGCGCAGACGGTACTTGTATTGCGTGCACACGATTTTGATGCGCTTATGTTGTTACATTGCTGTGCACATCAGGATTACCACAGGGCAAAGGCGTTGAAATATGGTGATTGTGTTGAGGATTTGGTTAGTGTTGCCCCCGTTGCCTTCCCCTTTTGGGTATATTATTCATGGTTTGTAACTGTTTGGTTTGTTTTGCATTTCAGAAGGGTATGCTTTATGCGTTCTTTGAAGAGATTTCTAATCCGAGGTCTGCGGCTTGTGTTTGTGTGGAGTCTAAGCAGTTGCAAATGGCCTGGCGCGATTCCAAGAAGAAGATTGATTGTGGGGTCTTTCTCATGCGGCACATGGAGTCGTATGTTGGTCAGCGTGTCGCCGAGTGGGAGTGTGGTCTAGTCAAGGGAGACACTACGACTTTGCATAAGCTCAGGTTGCGTTACATGAAGGAGTTTGTGATTTCGGAGCATAATGTACACGATCCGGCCAACCTATTTCGAGCTTACCAGCCAGTCCATATCTGTTCCTCCATCCGTGCAGCCACGTGTCTTTGGTAGTTATGTCTGATTGGGTTTTTGCTCGTGTGTGCACATGTATATGGGAAACTGTGTTGTCTATAGTTTTTGGTCTTCCTGTTGTTGTGCACACAGATCCGTTTGTTTGTGCGAACATCTTTTTGTGCATAGTTTGCTTCTTGATGGTATTATATTGGCACACAAGTACTGGTTAATTAGTGGTAACATTCTTTTTTGAGTTGGGTGATAATAGTTCTAGTGTGCTCGTGTATATCGATTTAATCAGAGCATTGTTATTATTTTGTGTGCATGTTAGTTTGTCGTTACTTTGGTGTTATCTTTTGTTTTACGATATGCTTTATTAGCATGTTCATATTCTTGTGGGTGGACATTTTTCCAGGGTGTTACCCTCTTGCCTAGAGAAGATGCAAGTTCAATTTGGTTAGATATATAACTTAATTAATACCCAGAAAGTTTGCTTTAGAAAACTACTTTGACCACAAGCTCACTTAGCTTACCACCAAATAAAATTTAAAAGTAAACAACAAAACAAAACAAAATGAGCCCATACGTTACCTCTTTTGCAATTCTATGACGCAAGTCATTTTTTGTAATCTCAAGTCTCTGTATAGAAAGCCTATTAAAAATTTGTCAAATAATGCCAATTTGAGACAGTATTTAATAAAATGAACAGGACAAAGAATTAGCAAAACAAAGGTTTTATCTTACATTCGATGTGGATGGAGAAAAGTGCACAACATTGTTCTGAGTAGACTTTATGCTTTATGGTTTAAATAAAAATGAATACCTCATAAATTGTTTTTAAATGCTAACAGATGCTAGGTATAGAAAGGAGCACCGACATGCAAATATTATTTCATTTCGTAAGATTATAAGAACAAATTCCACTATGGGAGAATTTAAATCATTCACCACTAGGATGTATGACTCGCTCCCCATCTCTAATGTTTCGAATCTCTGTCATTCGTATGGTGTCTTCTCATTCGGGGTTGTAGGTCTCCAATATTCTGCACCATCTTCGCGTATTTCCATTTCGCATTCTCTTTCGCTGTGTTAAAATTGATCTTCACCTGCTGTACACAACAAATACACATTAGAGTTGGGGTCTAATTATAAATGACGTGCGGTAAAATAAAATTTGTATGTAAGTGTTCGGGGTTTTTTTTTTGGGAAAATGGCACTTCTTCCCCCTAAGTTATATACTTATAGCACTTTCTCCCCCTCAATTATTCAAGTGGTTGTTTTCCCCCCTAAAATGTTAAATGGACATATTTACCCTTAAAATAAATATTTAAAATAAATATTTCATTTATTTTCATTCTCCAACAAATTATGACAATAATTTGGTTCAAACCAAACAAACACTATAGCAACCAAACCGAAATATTCCAATTACAATTTAGAATCGAAACTCGATATTTAGAGTTTATTAAAATCGCGAACCGGAACAGACGATTCATGTTCCGAATTGAAAAAATAAAATACATTTATTGTTGAATTTAGACTATTTAAAATAAAAAATAAAATTTTAAAATAAAGACGGTTCAAAATCGCGAACCGGATCCAGAACCGCCGATTCACGGTTCAAGATCCAATTTTTTTATTCATAATTTTAATAAATTGAAATCCAAATATTAGGTTCTAGATCTGAAACATAACCGGAAACTTTTAATTCAATTGCTATAGTGTCCGGTTCAGTTTGATCTGAACCGTGGTCATCCCTACGTATACGCGATAATTTGTTGGAGAAGTAAAATAAATAAAATGTTTACTTTAAGGGTAGAAATGTCAATTTAATATATCAAGGGGGGGGGGGGGGGGGGGGGAATCACCACTTTTAGAATAATTGAGGGGGCTAATGTGCTTACCTAAATAATTGAGGGGGAAAAATGACTATAAGTATATAACTAGGGGGAAAAAGTGCCATTTTCCCTTTTTTTTTTTGGCAGCCTTATGGGATATTTTAATGTGTGCGTGGTAGACTGTCTTTGCGTGCAAGGGTCTGAATTTGCCTGTGCGCACGTGTAGCCCAAATGGCGTGCATGGTGCCACTTTACCTGTCTGTTTAATACAGGCGCATGCTGGGGTCTCTATGTGTGCATGGTAGACAGTAGTTGTGTGCACCGTTCGTTTTTAAAATTGTTACCTCACAATCGTGCCCTTATAATCTATTACCATGCATGCGTGTTGTTTCAGCCTTATGGGGGCCCATAATGTGCACATTGGGACGTTATGCCATGGAACCGTGTTCACCATTCATGGTGAACACGGTTCCAGAATGGTGAACACGGTTCCAACGGTGTTAGTACACCGTTATTTTTTATTTTTTTTTAATTAATTGCGTGACTTTTCTTCTTTATTTTCACATTTTGCGGTTTTACTTTAATTTGAGGTGAACAAAGATTTCGGACATTCATAAATTATGAATTCATGCCTGCACATTCACTTTGGAACCATGCCTACACATTCCCGTCCGAAATCACGGACATTCATAAATTATGAATCCATGCCTGCACATTCACTTTGGAACCATGCCTACACATTCACTTTGGAACCATGAGATTATGAATTTTCTGTTATAACATTATGAATTTTCTGTTATGAGATTATGAATTTTCAGTTATGAGATTATGAATTTTCTGTTATGCGATTATGAATTTTCTGTTATGAGATTATGAATTTTCTGTTATGAGATTATGAATTTTCATTACATTCATAATTTCGGACATTCATAAATTATGAATTCATGCATGCACATTCACTTTGGAACCATGCCTACATATTCCCGTCCGAAATCACGGACATTCATAAATTATGAATCTATGCCTGCACATTCACTTTGGAACCATGCCTACACATTCACTTTGGAACCATGAGATTATGAATTTTCTGTTATAAGATTATGAATTTTCTGTTATGAGATTATGAATTTTCATAAAATTCATAATCTCATAACAGAAAATTCATAATTTGATCAAACGCGCGCCGTTAACTCCACATCCGCGATTTTTTTTTTTTTTTTGCCTAAAAACGACGTCGTTTTGCTTTGTGTTCACCATTCTCGGTGAACACGATTCCATGGCATAATTTGCGGTGCACACTAAGTAATACTACGCACAGAAATAGGAAGACACGTGCACACATAATGGACCAAACTTTTTAATGAGAGAACGAACAAAAAAGTGAATAGTAGTGTATTAATAGAAAAAGCCTAGATCTGGACATACCACATTCCTCCCATGCACACCGTATTACGCTGGCACGCGAACATCATAGTATTCATCTCGTGTTCATGATTAGGGTTTGTCATTACTATTATTTGCACATATACTATTCAGTAATTACCCTCGCTCTATTCTACATATGTCATAATCAAGTTCGGATGCTTACTTGGTACTGTTGCCGGTGTATCCTCCATGTTATCCTTTGTCAGTTCTCGCTCAGTGCGTTGCTGGAGTCGGTTGTTGGAATGGCGATTGGCGTTGCAGTGGTGGTTGGCGTTAGAGTCGTCGTTTGCGTTGGAATTTGACTGCCGTGCATAATGGAGAATGAATAATCCTACTCTAATTCTTCTTCTTTAATTTAGGCTAGAATCATGTTACTACCTTAACAAGTATTTCATTAAATTGTCTTTATTGCCCTTTTAGTATCTATTCATGATACTGGCGTCACATTTCCCCCTTTCATCTAATCTATTAATTTAATCTAATCTAATGGTCCATATTTGTCCATAGGTTTGTATTTTAAGAGTGTTTGCATGTGAATGGCTCCCTATATATATATATATATATATATATATATATATATATATATATATATATATATATATTACCCATTTCATTCAGCGCAGCCGAGCTCCCATTTCACTCTTCTAGACTTCTCTCAATCTCTCATCTCTCATCTCTCGTTCTCTCTTTCACTCTGGTCTTTGAGTCTTACTCTCTAAGACTCTGAGTTCTCACTTCTCAAATCCCAGTTCTCTCACTCTCTCAGTCTAATTCTCTCAGTTTGTTAGACATTCACAGTTGTAGTCTGGTGGAAGCCCTATTCGGAGACTCGGAGTAGCGACTAGTCTGGCGGAGTGGTGGAAGCCCTATACCCTAGTCCAGTCACCGGACTCTGGTGGAACTGTGGAACGGTGAAATAGTGGATTCAAAGCCCTTTGTTCTCGAGGGATTAATTTTGAGAAACGAAGTAATTACTAAACCCTATTTACATTTTCATTATAGATTATTGTGTATTTGTCTTATTGATTAGGGTTTCTAATTTGTTATGATTATGTGGACTGTGATACTTGTAAATCTGTTGAGAAGTTCCGGATTGCATGTCACTAGTCCTTTGAGTGTGAATTTCTGAATTCTGTGAATAGGGTTTCTAATTTGTAACCTAATCTGTGGACTCATTGGACTATGATACTTGTAAATCTATAGAGAAGTTCCGGATTGCATGTCACTAGTCCTTTGACTCTTTGAGTGTGAAATTCTGAATTCTGTGATTAGGGTTTCTAATTTGTAACCTAATATGTGGACTCACTGGACTATGATACTTGTAAATCTGTTGAGAAGTTCCGGATTGCATGTCACTAGTCCTTTGAGTGTGAATTTCTGAATTCTGTGATTAGGGTTTCTAATTTATAACCTAATCTGTGGTGGAAGCCATACTGCCCTAGCCCCTTGCCACTGTGGAAGTGTGGAACTGTGTGTGAAATACTGAAATCCATATAAATGTTAAGCATGCTGGTATTCTTGTGGAATCCATATAAATGTGAGAGTGTGGCATGTACTCATGTGTGACTGAAATCCATATAAATGATGAGCATATAAAGTAGCATACATCTACTTAGCTTGAATGCCTGATTATGGATTTCATTGTAAATTGTAATTTGTAAGTTGTAAGTTGTAACTGTGAAAATGTGAAATTGTAAGTTTATGGATATGTGACCCTTAAATCATTTATGTGCAATTCTGCATACATGATGAAATGTTCAATTAACTGAATTCTGCCTGTTTAACACTTTAATTAATTGATACATGTGACAAAGCCCATTCTCTGTTGATGATTTTCAATGAGTGATTTCCCATTGTGTCACTGATACTTTCCTCTTTTTAGATGGAAAGTGTTAGTGGTCTTACTGGTGTATCTGGAACCCAACCTGAGTAGGAAGCACCAGTTGTAGAGACTGTTACTCCTCAGTCTCAGCAGCCTTTGCCTCCACCTGTTCCAAAGAAAAGGAAAGACGTTGAAACCAGGTCTCCATGTTGGGATCACTTTGAAAAGATCAAAGACAGTGAGGGCATTGTCGTCAAAGAAAAATGTATATATTGTGCAAAAGTGTATTGCTGTGAGACCAAGAAACATGGGACTTCTTCTCTGAGGACTCACATTGTAAACTGCCTTAAAAATCCTCACTCTAAGGAGACTTGGCAGTCCCTACTTACATTCCGACCTACACCTTCTTCTGCTGGAACTCAAAGTAGTGAAGGAACTGAAGGGGTGTTGGTTACTTGGGTGTTTGATCAAGACTTGATAAGGAGAGCCTTAGCTGAGATGATTATTTTAGATGAACTTCCTTTTAGGATTGTTGAGGAACAGGGTTTTAGAAAGTTTGTTTTAGTTTGCTGTCCTAGGTTTAAAATCTCTTCAAGATGGACTATCAGTAGGGACATTTTCAAGATATTTTCTGATGAGAGGGTGAACTTGAAGAAGTTTTTTAGGACTAGCAGTCAGAGGGTAAGTATCACAACTGATACTTGGACCTCAGTCCAGAGAATAAACTACATGTGCATAACTGCACATTTCATTGATAGTGAGTGGAAGTTGCAAAAGAAAATTATTTCATTTGTTCTTATATATTCCCACAAGGGGGAAATTATTGCAAAGGCTTTAGAGAGTTGCCTTTTGGACTGGGGTCTAAAATCAGTGTTTAGTGTGACAGTAGATAATGCTTCCAGCAATGACACTGCCCTAGGATTCTTGAAGAAGAAGTTGGTCTCTTGGGGTTGTACTGCTGTTAGGTGTAAGTATTTGCACATGAGGTGCATTGCTCACATCCTTAACTTGGTGGTACAGGATGGGTTGAAAGAATGTGACAGTTCTGTTAAGAAAGTCAGGGATGCTGTTAGGTATGTGAGGAGCTCACCTGCTAGGTTGCAGAAGTTTAAATCACTATCTGATCTAATTGGGGTGGAAGCTAAGAATTCTCTGTGTCTAGATGTCCCTACAAGGTGGAATTCCACATATATGATGCTTAATACTGCATTATTGTTTCAGAAGGTATTTGAAGCCTATGATGATCATGACAGTTCATTTAAATCTAATTTCTGTGGAAGTGTACCTGATTTCTTAGATTGGGAATCCATTCAATCTTTGGTTATGATTCTGAAATCTTTTTATAAAAAGACTGTTAGGATTTCTGGTTCATTGTATGTGACTTCTAATACCTTCTTCTCTGAGATTTTTGATTTGTCTTGCTTGTTGAAAAATATGGAGGAAGCTACAGAAGATAATGTTAAACTGATGAGTAAAAATATGAGGGCAAAATTTGATAAGTATTGGGGTGAGCCTGAAAAAATGAATTTTTTTGATATTCTATGCAAATATCTTAGACCCCAGGGACAAAATTGAATATATGCCCATTCAGTTTAAGCAGTTATATGGTGAGGACAAGGGTAAAACAATGTTTGATAAGGTTATTGTTGGCCTTAAGGAGTTGTTTGAAGATTATGTTGCATGCTTCCCTGTCCAGTCTGTTGAACAATCTGACAAATCTTCTCCCTCAATAACAATATCTAAATCTGTTTCTGTTGGGAGACCTCAATCATTACTGAAATCTCAGATTAAGAAGCAAAAATTGGTGAGTGGGGATTTGTCTTGGAAAAAAACTGAGTTGGAAGTGTATCTCTCTGAGGTTATTGTGGATGAGGATGATTCTTTTGAGCTTCTAAGATGGTGGAAGCAACAATCTGAAAGGTTCCATGTCTTATCTAAAATGGCAAGGGATATTCTAGCTGTTCCAATATCAACTGTTGCTTCAGAATCAGCATTCAGTACAAGTGGAAGGGTACTTGATGCCTTTAGGAGTTCCCTAACTCCTAGAATTGTTGAGGCATTGGTGTGTGCATAGGATTGGCTAAGGTTAACCAATCAACCAATCTCTATTGAAGAAAATATTGATGATGTTGAAATGATTGAGAAAGGTATATACTTCTAACTTCCATTTTGTATCTGTTTAATTGTTTATAAACTATATTAACTATTGTTAGGAATATATTGTAGAAGTTTTGATGAGCCAAATGTATTTTGTAGACCGCAATTTTAGTTTATTTGAGTCAGTTCTGGTTCACCAAGTATAGTGCACCACTGCCATGAAGCCTACATGAAGTCTACGAAAAAGCAGTTTTAAAGAAGAATAATTGAAAGCGGGATCATAGCTTAACAGATTTATGAAGCATCAAGTTACCAAAGGTTGCATTCAAAAAAAAACAAAAGTTACCAAAGGTTGAGAATCGAGATGGTAGAAGACTTGTTGAAGCATGCCTAATGCGAGATGATCCATAGTTCGATTCTCATTAAAAGCAATTTTGGTGTAAAGATGAATTGCTATCGTGAAGTAGCAATATCAGGAGATGATGTCATCATGATAGTAATATCAGGTTATACTATCATGAAAGAACAATTTTTATCGTGATAGTTGAGAATTATCGGGTGATGACGTCACGACTATCGGGTAATGACATCACAATGTGATAAAGCTAGTGGAGAACACGTGGAGGAGATAAGTCAAAAGAATTTAAGTCTTGGATTGTATCAATTGGATACCCAGTCGAGATGGAAGAAGCGTTGCCAAGCAAAGCAAATGGTCTACAGTTCGATTCCCAGTCGATCATGATATGAAATGGTCCATGATACAAGGTGGAACATGATATATAGCTCATGATATGAAATAGAATGGTCCATGATACAAGGTGGAACATGATATACTATTGGGACATGACTTCATCAAAAGGAGCTATGACATCATGATAGAATTAGACAGAAACATTTTAAAGCTCTGTTTCTGCAGAAGAAGTCGAAGGAGAAGAAGCTGATATACGAAGGAGATCTTTTTAATACTCAAGCAAGAATCAGCAGATAAATTATTTGATCAACTTGGCACATCAGATCAATAATTCAACAAAAGTCATGCCAGAGAAATTCAAATTTGGAGGCTACCCATTCCAAAGAAAAAGCTTTGTCAGATTAAAGAGGAGCAACGGCAAATTTATTTAAATCTTCTGACAGACGGCGAAATGATTTTTTGCAGACCAAGTTGGCAAAATTAATTGATCAACTACAATTCAAAATGGACGATCGAGATCGAAAGTTGATCAACGGGCAAATAGCTTTCATCTGCTATAAATTGCCCAAGCAGACTTGAAGACAAGCACGAATCTAACAGAGATTCAGAAAACACTTGAACAACAAAGAAAATTATCCAATCAATCATCAAGTGGTATATTGAGCTATATAAGATAGAATTCAAGTCTGAGTGAGAGAAATCTTTGTATTTCATTGTAAATCTTCTACTGAGTGTAGAAAAGGGGTAGAGTAACTAGGGAGAGTGAAAAACCCAGTTGGAGTGTAGCTTTGTGCGTAGCACTCGGTTGTAACGGGCAGAGTAACAAGGGGAGCTTGTGAAAACCCGGTGAGAGCGTAGCTTTGTGCGTAGTTCTCGTGGTGTAGGAGTACAGCTTGGTGCGAAGTACTCGGGAAGGCGGAGTAACAAGAGGAGCTTGCGAAAAACCTTGGTGGAGTGTAGCTTTGTGCGAAGCACTCGGAGAAGTGTCGTTGGGCACTTATTCACTATTGTATCTGGGTGATTGAAGAATAGTGAATTTCCTCCTTGAAGTGAAAGGAGAAGAGTGGACTAGGAGGATTACACCACCTCTGAACCACTATAAATCTCTCTCTCTCTATTTACTTACTGCTCATATATATTTCGTGCATGCCTATATTATTTGTGAACTAACCCGTTACGGTTTATTGCGTATCTTTATCTGTCTGGGTTTGATAGTTCCCTCGTTTGCATGCAAGTGAAATTTTATATACATCATCCTACATCTATATCAAGTGTTTCTAACGTGATGCATGTATAGAATCTCTCTTGAGCACGACACAATTTAAAGCATAATACTTTGTCGTTACAATTCCGCTGTGCACACTCTAAGTTGCTATACTTGTTTATGCTTGTTACTTAGAGTTGAAGTTACAAAGTGTTGTTTGCAGAAGAAGTTTGAAAAAGTTAGAGAAGTCTATTCACCCCCCCCCCCTCTAGACTTCTCACCACCCTTTCGGGACCAACAAGTGGTATCAGAGCGGTTGTCTATTTGAGTCATTTCTTGACTGCTAGACAGATCTCGAAAACTTCAAAATGAAGAGAGATATGGTTCTTGCTCAAAATTTGCTTTTCTCACTTGATAAATTTGATGATTGGAAAATACGTATGCAGGTGCACTTATCTGCTTTAAATGATGAAATGTGGGAAGTCATCACAAATGGCCCTATCCAAATTATGGAAGCTAATACCGCTACCCCACGTGATCCAAATGCTCCACGATATATTCCAAAGCCAAAAATGGAGTGGACAAAGGAAGATAGAGGACGAAATAACTTGGACAATATTGCCAAGGACATTTTGTTCAAAACCGTCGATGACACCATATTCCCAAAAATTCGAAAGTGCACCACGGCAAAAGAAATATGGGATACGCTCATAAGCATCGGTGAAGGCGACGAACAAGAAAAAGACAACAAACTAACCATCGCCATGAAAAGGTTCGAAGATTTCAAAATGCTATCGAACGAAAGCATCACCGACATGGAAGCTCGATTAATCAAAATCCTTGGAGAAATCACGGATCTGGGAAAGACCATTACCCAGAAGGAAATATCGCTCAAAGTGTTACGCGGACTACCTACAAATTGGGATATGAAGGTGACCGCAATGCGAGATCATAGAGATCTAAGGACATTATCTACGGATAAACTCTTTAGTGATCTAAAGGCGTATGAGTTTGAGATGAAGACACGAAATGAAGAAGAACGTGATGAACGAACATCCGCACTGATGACCGAACAACCTTCCTCATCAAGGTCAGTCGTAAATAATGATTTTTTATCTGACGAAAAATTTTCTCTATTTGTTAGAAAATTCAGGAAGTTCATGCGAAAGAACAAAGGATCACCACAAGGAAATTCTTTTCGGGAGAATAGAAGATCAAGAAGAGAATCTACGGAAGAAAACACAAGTGTGTGTTACAATTGTAGAAAGCTTGGACATTTTATGGCTGAATGTCCACATCCCAAGGTGAACAAAAATTCGAATACTTCTAACTCTCCACAGGTTGAGTACAAGTCGAAAGAGAAGAAATTCAAAAAGGACAAACGGAAGGCACTAATAAGCGATCCGTTAGAAGCAAGTGAATCCGAAGAATCATCTAGTGATGAGAGTGATTCATCTCAAGAAGATACGGCGCTACTATGTCTAGTGGGCAAAACATCCGAACATGAGGAATGCTATATGGCGCGCGAAACCGACGAAGAGGTATCTTCTAGTTCATTTAGCTCGTTTAGTTCCGTTGACACCTCTTTCGAGACTCAAAAATCTTTTCAAAGTCTTATGGAAGATTGTCAAAAAGTCATGGCCACTCATACTCAAATCAAAGAGCGCAATAATACGTTAATTCTTGAAAAGGAAGAAATGTCACAAAAATTGCAGAATGCTCTAAATGAAATGAGTAATTTGAAAGCCGAAAATGTTCGACTTCAAGAAGAGTGCAAAGCTAGAGAGGTTAGAGAACATAACCTTCGGGAAGTAATCGCATCATTTACGCATTCATCCAAAATAATGGATAAAATGGTGAACATGCAAAAACCCGCTGGAGATAAAGCCGGACTAGGCTACGATCCATCATGTTCTAAAACCCCTCAAAAGTTGACTAATTCTACTACTACTTTAATTAATAAAGTTTCAGTGGTAAAATTTGTGAAAAGTCAACATAGCACAATGAGACAAGGAGTTGGAAACAAAATTAATGCCCAGAAAATTGTTGCAAGGCCGAATCAACACAATGATATCTTGGCAAGACAACAAAATTTTAAAAGGCAAAAATTTGTATCTCAAAGGAGAACCAACGAGTCTAGTGCAACAAAACCTCATAGGAATATGGGAAGAATTCCGAGAATTGGAGCTGGGAGATTATATCCCTCAGAAGAAGATTGGTCGCTTGAAATCAAACCATGGACCAAGTCCAGATTTGCTCTATTTCATAGAATCAAGCAACTATCAGCTTCCCAACCCGCACCGAATCATTATTCGAAAGTGCGTTATGATTATAAAGTTTTTAATGGTTACAAATCACCTACTCTTGGATCAGTGGGATCTAGGTGGATTTGGATGCCAAAAATTACTAACACAAAAGGACCCAAACAAGTATGGGTACCTAAAAGAAATTAATCTTTTTTGCAGGAAGTTTGGTATTTCGATAGTGGTTGCTCTCGACATATGACCGGCAATAAAGCTAGTCTAGTTGAGTTCAAAAGTATCGAAGGACCAAAAGTAGTTTTCGGTGGAAACGATCGATATGGAATGACAAAAGGAACCGGCGCAATTGTGAAAAATGGTCTACGAATTGATGACGTATCTTATGTCGAAGGATTAAAATTTAACTTGTTTAGTACAAGTCAATTTTGCGACAAAGGATATCTCGTAGAATTCTACAAGGGCAAATGTCAAGTCAAAGACGAATCCACGAAAGAAGTCGTACTAGCCGGATCAAGAAAGAAAAACATGTATGTTGTAGATTGGAGTACAACAAAAGATTCTGTATGCTTGATGGCAAATAATTCGAATGAAGCTAGTTGGGAATGGCACAGAAGGCTAAATCATTTGAATTTCAAAACCATCAACAAGCTTGCCAAAAAGAAGTTAGTCGAAGGACTACCCAATATTGTGTTCAAGAAAGATCAAATATGTGACGCATGCCAAAAAGGAAAACAAATCAAAGCATCATTCAAATCCAAAGCTCAAGAGTCAACATCAAGACCCTTAAGTCTACTGCACATGGATTTATTTGGTCCAGTAGA